ACATGTTCAGAATTTTCATTTAAACTTGTCAATAATCTTCAGTAAAATTACCAAACTTCATCCGTCGTTTGGTTCTCAGTTTATTGCTTTGAAAACAGTCTTCCCACTTCTCGCTGTTGATTTCTTCAGGCTGCCCTTTGTGTCGAGCCATGCAATTCTTTCTGTGAACCCTGTCTTTCATCGCACGTTTCGAGCTTTAGTGTCCAGATTCAGCAATTCAATTCAGTCCAAATTTGTCCAATCAGAAAACCATTTGTTCCAAATGATGTCCAATTTTGTAATCCAATTGTTCCAAATGATGTCCATGCAAAAGAGGACGCTGGTGTTGTCCATGTCTCGGCAGCTCACAGCAGGCCTGAGTGAATCAGGGGCTGTGCAGATTGTCCATGGGCTGATCCAGATGCATTCTCTTGAGGTTTCTCAGTTTGGCTTGAAAAAAACAAACAACACATTTTGGTGTAAAAAAAAAGTCTCTGTTCATCTAGATGTTACGACAATGCCGCATCCTCCACACCTGAAGAAGATGACAAAGTCTGGGATCGCGTCTCTTAATTCTGACAGAAGACTGGTGTTATTGTCGATGGTAGAGACAGCTACGAAAACAGATACAACAGAATGCAAGTGTATTATACAGAGCGGAGGCATGGAGACCTCCAATCAGCAAGCTGCCACGGTGCAAGTAGCTTGGCCTTCAGATAGACAAAACAAGGGAAAATAGTAACATGCTTCTGCACATGAGTGAATGATGAGTTTAACTTTTAACAAAAAGTTGCTTAAAGTGTTATGAATCTCTACAATATTTTGTAGCACTGTGACAAATGGTAAACAATAAAAAACACTCACCTTGTCGGTGTTAGGAAAAATGTTCAGGATGTTAAAAAGATAAAGTATTGTATGAAACAGATGACAGATTTTGGTTTTGAACGAGTTCAACAGTTTGTATGTGATGACAAGCCATGAAATGAGCTTTAGTTTTACAGGGAGAAACTATTCAGTCGTGATAAGTTTTATTTTGCTAACAGGACAGAAGCAAATGGACATATTTATTTTTACCAACCGTAATCGACAGGGCCAAGCCAAAAAGTAAGCCCTGTATATTCTCTGGAGTCAGTCTTAGAAAAACATTAAGTTTCCCTCGGTCACAGTGTGTGCGGCACGGTGGCTGATGTGGATAGCACTCTCGCTTCTTGACACGAAGGTCCTGGGTTCGAATTCCGGTCGTGACAGGGCTTTTCTGTGTGGAATTGGCATGTTCTCAGTAGCTGCTTTCCATTGAATAATGCGCAAAAACTTTTTTCGATACATTTCAAAATTCGAAAAAAACCTGTAATTCGCAAAAGCGGCCGTTTCCAGTAGACATATTCGAATAAGTATACACTATTTCGCGGCGTTTATTCACTAGTTTCTGAGTACGTCAACATGGCAACAGAAGTAAACAACACTTTGATTTACCGTGAGATATATTAATGTCTTGACTTCTGCTGAGGGCTCTCATCCTCTCTGACCTCCTGACCCCGTGGAGAAAACTGTGGGCTGCTTTGACAGCTCCGCGAACGGCGCGTGTTCATGTACCGAGCGCGGACCATAGACGCGCGCACAGCACCATAGACACGGGTCTTGCCTGTCTCCCCCGTCTCTCCCCATGTCTCTTCCCGTCCTGCCTCGTCGCTTCCCGTCTCTCCCCACGTCTCTTCCCGTCTCTTCCCGTTCTTCCCCGTCTCCTCCCCCGTCTCTTTCCCCGTCCTCCCCCGTTCTCCCCGTCTCTCCCCCGTCTCTCCCCCATGCCCTCTCCCCCGTCTCTCCCCGTCATCTCCCCATGCCTCTCCCCGTCTCTCCCCGTCTCCTCCCCGTCTATCCCCCATGTCCTCTCCCCCATGCTCTCCCCCGTCTCTCCCCCGTCTCTCCCCATGCTCTCCCGTCTCTTCCCCGGCTCTTCCCCGTTCTTCCCCCGTCTCTCCCCCATGCCTCTCCCAGTATCTCCAAGTCTCCACACGAAGCGCAGCAAAACTCACTGAATAAAGCTCAGCTCGGCTTTCTCCGCTATATCGAAATAAGTGTCCCATTATCATATTGTATATTTAACATAAAATGGACGATAAAGAAAAATGGAGCTGCTCTACTATTGATAATAACAATAGTAATGGGTAGATCAATAAATAATTAATTTAGTAAATGATAAAAATAAATACACATAGAATGTGTCTAAAAAACATAAATAGATGTACTAAAAAAGCAATAATAAATAATAAATACTAATCAAAGCTACTGTACTCTGTTTTATTTATGTATTTATTTTAAATGTTAGAGTGCCAGAGAATAAGGGTCTGCTTTTTTCTGTGTGGGAGGAGACACCAGCGGTAGCTGTTTGAGTCAAATAACGTCAGTGTTATATTACCAATAGTTTCTATTGCGTTTAATCGTGGTGCCACTTATGATGATTTCTTCAAACTGTGCAAGGTTTGGTTCCATGTGTGCTTTTGGTACCGGTCCACGGGTGGGTTGTTCCCTCAGCAACTGGCTCTTCTGTAAAGCATCTTTTTCAATTAAACAGTTCTCAATTTCTGATATCCTCCTAACAATCTGGGCTAGTGGACGGTATGGACTCCGGACCAACTTTTTTATCTGGCCTAGATGGTTCTCAAAAGGAAATCCAGATATGACATCCAAATTGCCATGAACTGCCACATCCTCTGGCAAGTGGACAAGGCCATGGACATTATAGGTGACAAATTCTGGCCCATAGAGCTCCTGGAAATGTTGCACAAAAGACACCAGTAAACGGGAAGCCAAATCGTTAAGCTTGAAACAAAGGGAGGGGCTGGCCAAAATGAAAATGGCTACTGACAATAACATAAAGTTGCCATAGATGGCAGGATGAAGCTGACGATGAAGACACACCGGCCCTGTGTACAGCAAAAACTGTCGCAACTCTGTGGCTTTCCACCTCAGTCTGTCTACAAGACTCCGGGGCTTGCGTGCAAAATCCATGGGAATAAAAGGTCTTAAACCAATTAAATCCTGTGAAATCCGCTCCATTTGATTGTATGACATGCGACAGGAGAAAGGGCCAGAAAACCACAGATTCAAAAGTCTGCGCATTACTCCAAGACAGACAAGGTGCATATAATCGTGTGGAAACCCTGATACCATTCCAATGCCTATGAACCTTAAAGGTGAGCTGGTGACATGGTGGTTCTCATCACACATCTCTTCAAAGGCTACGTCAGAGCGACGTCTACAGTTCACCTCAGGAAATGTCATCCTGTGTTTGACATAAACCCCCTTCTGCTCACACTTATCACACCCCGAGTAGCCTGTGTGGCTTTTTATTCCTTTGATAAAAGCCCTGGCTGGAGCATCACATATTACAGAGCCCAGTTTGATAATCCACTGCTTGCCACACATGGCAAATCCTCTGCTCAGTTGTTGCAACTCGGTTATGATATCTTCTAGGTATGCGGTGAGACAATTGGGTTTTGAATTCCCACAAAAAAGTGCAATGACCACAGGTTTCTTTGTCACACCATCTAAAAGGCCAAGGATGGGCCAAAACTGCGTGGACGAGCTTCGAAACAGGGGTAAGCCATCAATATTAATTTTTAAACTGAACACATGGTTGTCTGGGAAACAGGAGGCCATTCTTTCTAAGCTTTTCCCAAAGGCTTGTAATATGCCAAAATAATAGTAGGAGCCACCTGCAAGCTCTTTAATGTTGTATATGGTGGCTGTTTTCAGCAGAGTTCTTGCATCAAGGGGCAATGAAGGATGATGACATCGAAGGATGCTAAGGAGGGCACTCAAAGCTACTAGGCTAATCTTGAATTGCACAGCCCAATCGCACAAAGCCTCACATAAGGGTATGTTACTACCCATTTCACCCCCATTGGACTCGCTGTCCTCCTGTGACTCGCTGCCCTGCTGGGAGTCACTGTCCCACTCAAACTCAATTTCATTGCAATTATTGTTCTTCTCTGGAACATTAACAAATTGATCTTCATTGTCAAAAGAAGCATAGAAAGAGCCTACTTTTTTGACGGCCCTCTTTCGTATTGTGTGCCTGTCCATGTGTATCCGTACCTCAAGTTGTAAATCTAAGAACAGAAGAAATAGAAGTTAGTATTCTTAACTGTTTGAATTACACAGAGGAATTGGCAATAAACTGCCAATTAAACGGTTTATACAAATGTAACCAAACTTTTTTCGTTTTTGATTCAGGAGTCAAGACGATTGTGAAAATGACTTGATTTATTGTAAAGAAGATCTTTTATTTATATAAAAAGTCTAAACCAAGCAATTTTCTCCAGTTCGGCTTTATAAAAGCCGAACTGGAGAAATCAGGCTAGAAATTAGATATTAAAAAATCCCTCTGAAAAAACCTTCAAAATATTGTTAAGTCCAAGACTGGAAAGTTTGGAGTCTGTAGGACCCGAGTGAGGCTTTATCCCCCCTTTATCAGAGAAAACGACCTCTCGCTCCGCTGTTTCCATGGTAACGATAAACTATTGATCTGAAACTATAGCTTCAGGTAAACCAGCTAAAAAAGTGAAATAACTCCTGCCCAAATGAACAATTTGTTTGTGACACCATAGCCTATAAGTGGGGTAATCTTCAATTATCAGAAATGGATGACTTCGCAGAAAATAAACAACCCGGTAAAGTGTTGTATTTTTGGAACCCACTCGTTAGTAAAAAAATATATTGAGCAGAATGTTTAAATAAACTATTGTAAAACCACTTAACATAAAATGACTGGCATAGTAAGAGAACTATGCCCGACTTGGGCCGTTAGGCTATTCCAAGATAGATGGTAATGTAAAAGTGGCTTTAAACGTGCACCTATGCCAATACAACTCTTTAGTGGATGACTATAAAACAGTTTATAGTACAACTATAAACTTTAAAGTAAATATCACAGTAGAGTTGGTGGAGTCACCTACCTACAGTTGCAGAGACCGCTGAAGAGATGGAGATAAATCGCGCCTTCTGTCTTCACGGAGGAGATGACAATCGGCGCACACAAGATAAAACGGAACTGCGGGGACGGTCGCCGTTTTGACCGCGAATATCAATCGGCGGCTGTTGGTCAGCAAGTAGTTGAGCCGATGACCGATGGATATAACCGCGAATTTGTCATGGGTAACGTCAGTAGGAGAAGAATCTGCGTAACTTAGAAAATATGTGTTTTAAAATTTAACGCACTAATTTAACACTGCCTACACTCTAAGAAATGATGTGTTAATTATTACCACATGTTATGTGTTACTACTGTTTTAACACATGTTGTGTTAAAATATTTGAAAATTGTGTAAAAAATGCGAATCATAACCGTCACAAGAGCTACACATCACTGTGTTGACCTAACAGCCAATCAGGTTCAGAGCAGCGGCAGACACTCCTCTGTCTTTTGAAAACCGGACCGGAGCGAGGCTGCCCGCGTCAACAAAATAAGGTAACTATTATAATATAAATAAGTATTAATTCTCATTACAGTGTTGTCTGCTTTGCTATATGAGCCGTGCAGTGATTAACACGATAAAAGAGGTTTGTGGGAGTCACTTGTTCGTTTTTATGTTAGCTTTCTATTGTGGCTAAGGAGCGAGCTTGTGCTAACGGTCTGTGCTAAACGTAACGTTACTACATTTGATATTAATTGGTGGGCTTGTTTAAATGGATCATACAAGATGCCAGCGTGACTATTCTTTGTTCCTTGTGGGCTGAAACTGGCATTAAAGTGGCGCAATGCGTCGGCTATCTGGCGCTCATTGGGCTACTAGCCACGCTAGCCTTGACATCGCTCTTGTCTAACTTGTTAGTTAACCCTAACCAGACGAAGTGAGTAGCTGTGGTTAACACTTAACGATGTAATCGATCAAGATATGTGGGGATAACTGATCTGACAGATCATTTATCAATAATTGTGCGAAGTTGACCCCCGCTTTCGTAGCTCTGTTTTTCCAGGTTAGCCACTCGGATGTGGTAGTGCTAACCCAAAGCATCCAATAGATTCATGGTGCGGGCACACAGTTTAGAAATGCTCATAAGAGGACCGTAAATGTGAAATGGCCAATGCTGGCTTTATATGTGATATTTGAGGTGAGTGCGGTGTTCACCCTGTCATGGAAGCAGGAGGCTAGCGTTGAGTTTGAGGGCTGCTGCGGAAGCACGAGTAAACTGAGCCGTTTTATTGCATACAAGATATACTTATGGTAATTAATTCTTGCTCGCGTAGTTGATTATTGCTTACATTTTCCACTAGTCTTGTAAATTTTAACGAGCCTTTTTAAAATATTTTAGATAACCCGTGTTTATGAATTTCATGATCTGTAATTTAAATAGCTATAATACATACATTATAATTTAGCATTTGTTTAAAGATGCTTAATTTGGCGGTGTGTGCAGTTTGACAGGTAATAATATATACATATTTTTTTTTTTTGTTCTTTTTTTTCCCTGTCAGATGGAGGAGAATCCCAGATCTCTTGTGACTATTGTGCTGGATGACAAAGAGATTGCCAAAAGAGTTTACCATCTCAACACAATTAAAGAACTGATTGATAAAAGCACAAGCTTTTTAACAGACAAAGCCGACTTTCATTCTGTTCAAATATACAGTGAAGATTTTAAGGAATTTATTGATGCGGATGTCAATGTACTTGTCCAGAACCTTGACAAATACAGAATTTCATTTAAATCATACACTTCGGAATATCAGGTTTGTAATGTTCAACTATTGGTAATATTTTTTATTTCTTATTGTAACCTCAACTTTTATCTGTTTACTGTTTTTCCTTCCTAAGAACCAGCCCTCGGGTTCAACTTCAATTGGAGCCATTGCTTCATCTACAGTTGGACTGTCAGAGGTATGTCATTTGTTTACATGTTTTACATTATATTGTATATTGTATATTATATTGTATATTGACAGAATCTCTAGGCGCAGCCAGGGGCCGGAGGGGGTCCGGTTCGGGAACCACAGGATTTCATCTCTACTTTTTGCGGATGATGTCGTCCTGCTGGCTCCAACGAACCAGGACCTGCAACATGCACTGGGACGGTTTGCAGCCGAGTGTGAAGCGGCTGGGATGAGAATCAGCACCTCCAAATCCGAGGCCATGGTGCTTGACCGGAAAAAGGTGCCTTGCCCTCTCCAGGTGGGTGGAGAGGTCCTTCCTCAAGTGGAGGAGTTCAAGTATCTCGGGGTCTTGTTCACGAGTGAGGGGAGGATGGAGCGTGAGATTGACAGGCGGATCGGTGCAGCGTGCGCAGTGATGCGGTCTCTGTATCGGACCGTTGTGGTAAAGAGGGAGCTGAGCCGAAAGGCAAAGCTCTCAATTTACCGGTCAATCTTCGTTCCCTCCCTCACCTATGGTCATGAGCTGTGGGTAATGACCGAAAGAACGAGATCGCGGATACAAGCGGTCGAAATGAGCTTCCTCCGCAGAGTGGCTGGGCGCTCCCTTAGAGATAGGGTGAGGAGCTCGGTCACACGGGAGGAGCTCGGAGTAGAGCCGCTGCTTCTCCACGTCGAGAGGAACCAGTTGAGGTGGCTCGGGCATCTGTTCAGGATGCCTCCTGGACGCCTTCCTGGGGAGGTGTTCCGGGCACGTCCCACCGGGAGGAGGCCCCGGGGAAGACCCAGGACACGCTGGAGAGACTATGTCTCTCAGCTGGCCTGGGAACGCCTAGGGGTCCCCCCGGACGAGCTTGAGGAGGTGTGTGTGGATAGGGAAGTCTGGGCGTCTCTGCTTAGACTGCTGCCCCCGCGACCCGGCAACGGATAAAGCGGAAGAAAATGGATGGATGGATGGACATTATATTGTAGTGAATGATGAATCCTGAGTAATTTTAATAGTGTTTCAAAGTACATTCTTTTCACAACTTAAAATGTGAAGTAATATATATTATGGACTTATGGTAAAGTGACTAGTGCCAATTATTTATGCCTTTATTCTAACTTGCATTATTTTGCTTGTAAAAACCACAAATGCAATCTTTGTCCTGACTCTGGACTTGGTCCTGATATCTTTCTGTAATTATGTTGCAAAGGTAAATTCCTATTTCGAGATCTCCTTGTCCATTTTCCATTGTCGATTCTCCTCCATCTGACTTTAAAAAAGAAGAAAAAAATGTTTTGCCTTCTTTTTATGTATTAGTTTCACAAATTACATTTTTCATGATTTTCAAATGTTTCAGCATTCACCTGTATTCATGGATTTCATTGTTTTTTGCAGAATGAACCACAGCCAGGCAATGATAGTTTGAGAAAACTGTTGAAGGAAAAAGCCCCAAATCTCCTCTTGGAGTTCGAATCATCAGGCAGTCTTTCCATCACGTCACGAAAACTGCTTGTTAAAGTATCTGTGAGCCATCTCGTGGAACAGAAGGGATTGTAAGTATTTCAAAATACTCGTATCTACACCTGTACACACACTGCAGTCCAAAAGTCTGACTGATGGCTTTCATTTCAACCAAGCAGGGGCACACCAGACCCCCTCCAATTCTCATGTAAGAAGAAAGTCTTGAGGAAATGGGTGGAGTCCGGTGTGGCTCTGCTTGGTTGGAATGAACCTGTAACTAGGCCTATCACGATAACAATTTTGATGGACAATAAATTGGTTCACAAACATAACCAATACATGATGCCTTTGATTCTAATACAAAAACCAAATAAGCAATTTCTACATTTGTCAATTTCACTAAGTCATGCATTATGAAAGTTAACAGAATTAAGTCATTTGACCTTGAACTGTTGACTTTTTGCATTTGTTTCTTAAAAAGAAACTCTTTTACGCCATGATTATTATAATGCAATTTACATCATTGAATATGTCAGACCTTTTGTTAATGCAGAGTTTTAAGATAAGATTACAGTTATGGTATCTATATTAAAATGTATCATACAGTTAATCATACTTTTGTCTGTTATTTAGCTATCCCTCAAAGGATGACAAAATACTTCTGGCTAGAAGTATAGTAACAGTCTTTCCCTCGCTAAAGATAAACTACCAGGAAAAAAAATGAAGGATTTGTGAGTATATTTACACACGTGTGTGTGTGTGTGTGTGTGTGTGTGTGTATAATATATACACATGTATAACTGTTTTCTTTTTTTTTTTATTGTCTAGGAGCATTTCTTTGACCCAGTTTCCCATTGTGGGTTTATTGAAATGAGGCTGAGGAACCTCCGCAGAAGTCTTCACGAAGATCAGCGGCGATACCGGAAAAGAGTTCGTTGTAGTGTACCCGATCCTGATGTCATAGTTACCCTTCACATGGCAGAGCAGGAGGCAGAGGCTACACTGGAGTGGACATCTGCTATTAAAAGGATGAAGCCCATCCCTGAGAACATTGCAACAATCAAAATGGGCATGGATAAAACATTCACAAGTCGGAGGCTTTGGATTTCCACAGAGTCTCCCACAATGCAGGAAATTGTCGCTCACTATCCACGCTTTATTGACCTACTGTGCTTGGTAAACATTACATCTTCTTAACCAATAATTGTGTTCTCTAAATGTATCATTGGACATAGTAACAAGAGAATTTGAAATGGAGATGGAAACTGCTCTGAAAAAGTTTAGATTTGAAAGTGTCTGTCAATTCTTACAATTTGTCTCTTTGAAAACTTAATATAGCAAGGTTGGCGTGTCAGTATGTATCTATTATTGAAACTGTGAAGTTTTTATTTGGAAATGAAAAGCTGCAAAGACTTTATAAAGACTCCACAAAAAGTGAGGATGGAAAGATGCAGGATTACTGTGATGGTCTACATTTTGCTCAGCATCCATTGTACATGCAATACCCTAATGCTTTGCAAATTCAGCTATATTTTGATGATGTCGAAACGACCAATCCTTTGGGGTCAAAGACAAAAATTCACAAAATGGGGGCTGTTTATTTCTGTTTGAGGAATCTTCCTGCAGAAATGAATTCCTCTTTATCAAATATTCACCTGTGTCTTCTCTTTAATTCTATTGACCGAGAGACTTATGGTTTTGCCAAAATATTAGAACCTCTTTTGGAAGATTTACAAATACTTGAAAAGGATGGAATTCAGGTTGAAATTGACAGCCAGAATGTTGATCTCCGTGGAACAATTTGCCTTTTGACTGCAGATAATCTTGCTTGTCATTCACTAGGAGGATTTTTGGAGAGTTTCTCAGCCAACAAGTTTTGCCATTTTTGCTTAACTTGCAAGCAAAGGGCCCAACATGTCTTTGATGATGATCACCAAGAAACCCGTGACAAGATAAACTATAAACACCATGTCAGCCTGAAGAACCCTTCTCTGACGGGTATAAAAGAGGATTCTTGTTTAAATTCACTTGAGTACTTTCATATCACTGAAAACGTATGTCCTGATGTAATGCATGATATTTTAGAAGGTGTGGGTCCGTTAGAAGTAAAGCTGATGTTACATAATTTCATTTATGAAGAGAGACTATTTACATTAGAGCATCTTAACGACAAGATAGTTAGCTTTGATTATGGCTATTCTAACACTAAAAACAAACCAAGTGTCATCCTTAATCTGAGGACATCAGATAATCCCATAAAACAAACAGCCAGTCAAATGTGGTGCCTCTTGCTTTTTCTGCCCTTTTTGATAGGAGAGCATGTAAGTGAAGATAATCAACATTGGAAATTGTTTATCCTCTTAAGAGAAATATGCAACATAGTTTTTGCACCTGTAGTGACCCCTGGACTTGCAGTGTTTTTAAAGCAGTTGGTTATAGATCACCACCATCTTTTCAAAAGTCTTTACCCAGACAGGCAGCTCACACCAAAGCACCACTTCATGACTCATTATTGGCAAATGATTATTAAATTTGGCCCACTTGTAAGGTTTTGGTGCATGCGTTCCGAAAGCAAGCATGGGCCCCTTAAAAAGCATGCCCATGTTGTATGCAATTTTAAAAATATTTCAAAAACATTAGCTCATAAAACTCAACTTCAGAGTATGTTTAATTGGAAGTTTAGTGACCCAATTACAAAGAAAATCCAAGTCCCAAACAGCTATGCAATCACAATTGCATCTTTAGAAAAAAATGAATTGTTCCTTGATCAGTGGAAAGCTATTGACTGTGATGTTAGTCCATGTAGTACAATTCATGTTGCTCATTCTGTTTGTGTTTTTGGTCAAACATTTAGAGTTGGTTGTGTGGTTGCTTTGAAGTCTGATTACAGAGGAGAACCGCTCTTTGGAATCATGTGTACAATTTCACCAATGTGTGAAATGGAAGAAGTATTTGTTTTTATAAGAATCTTAACGGTAACTTATTTTGACGATCATTTATATTCGTATATGGTGGAATGAACTCATGAATATGAATTGATTTCTCTTTAAGAAACTAGGGGACATCAGACCACTGGACTTATTAACATTTTCAGATGAAAAATTATATCTAAATCCAAGATACAAAATACTTGTATAAACGTGTTCATGCTTGTTTCGTATTGGTTTTTTGTAGCAAAACAAGAGTTTGTCATGTATCTTGAGATTAATTCCAGACATTTAGTTCATGATTATTATTTTTTTGACTATTTGTATGAATTGTTTAACACAAGTGAAAAACCTCACTTCAGTTCAATGTCTTTTAGAATTCTGTATAATAAATATATTTGAATACATTTTTTAAAAGATCTTTTTTCTGGAATAAAACACAACATGTGATAATTTTTACACATCTTTGTGCTGATTTATTTTAACACATCTGTGTGTTTAGTTAGGGACAACACAACATGTGTTTATTTCAACACAGCTACCGTGTTGGTGTATTTAACACATTTGTTGTGTTAATTGAACCAACACAGTGGTTGTGTTGAAATCAACACATGTTGTGTTGTCCCTAACTAAACACACAGATGTGTTAATGAATAACACAACATGTGTTATTTTTAACACATCTGTTTTAAGAGTGTAGTCTGTGTAACTGATCATTTAACCTGTGTTGTGTTAAAAAATATTTTTACATTTATTTTGTATAAATAGTAAAGAATGAAATTACACATGCTGTGCGCCACCGCTCACCGCTGCCGTACACGCGTCCACTGTATTGCATCTTTACAGCAGGTGTTTGACGTCAATATGCGGCGGATTTTCATAGAATAAGGAGCGTTTTGTTGCTTGTGACTCTTCACATTGCATTGCATTGCATTGAAGTACAATTGGACCAGTTGTGTTTCTGTAAGATGTGCACTGCGTGCCACAGGGATGTCACGTCATGTGAGTGAGTAGGCCTATAGTCTATGATGCCACAATCGGGCCAATTAAAAAAATAGCAATTGGACCTATTACTGATTGCCAGTGTTGGCCCATTCTCTGTTTTATTGGAGTTGGCCTGAGGCACATCAGTTTAAGTCGGGCCATCAACTGCAATACTAAGGTGAGCCGCGTTTGAGGCCATCGTCGGCAGGGGGCAATAAAACCTCACTCGGGCCGATCAATAAACACTGGGATTGGCGCTACTATTGCAAGTCTGCCTCGGCCCATTCAAAAATAACAATGTTTCCGCCGAGTCGGAGCTCAGCCGACACTGACGTGGCTAAGCCAGAGTTGGCCCGAGTGTCCTTGCTACCTGGGACGTCACATTTGGAGGTCGAGGTGACGTCGGGAAAACTTTTATACTGCACCCACCAGCGACCTAAATTCTACGTCGGGCAATGAAGTCCAAATGACGCTGTGTATGTGTATGTGCGTGCGTGCGTATGCGCTGTATGCTCTTTGCAGTTCTACAGCATTGTGCAACAAAAACACAATCACTTACAGTATTTAGGTAGAACAAACATACAGAATAGCATTATGGTAGAACTGACAAATGTAAACAATAAAACACACCTCGTCATGAGTAAAGCTGAAATTCACTTGAGAGCATTTATTAGATTTAGGAGAAATTTTCAGGAAAAATTAAAATAAAGGAATGTTTGAAATTAGCTTGACAGATTTTGGTTTTGAACTAGTTCAACAATTTTGTATGTGATGACCAAAGCGATGAAATGAGGACTAATGGTTTTGCATGGAATGACAATTCAAAAGTCATAAGTATGTTTCATTTTGACTGACAGGAGAGAAGGAAATGTTATAAAACAGCAGAGAATTGTTTGAAAGTAACTGATACATGTCCAAAAGCATTTGTAACGTGTCAAAGGAGAAACTGCTGCGAAGATGTGCATAATAGTTTTGAGAACTTTAAGTCTGAGAAATAAACCAAAGTGACTGAGAAAAACCATTTTCTTTTATTTTAATGTAAATTTAAACGTTAAATTACGTTGCACATTAGTCTCCTTTTGATTAACTTTGTTATCATTAATATGTTTTAACCACAGCCAGCATGACATTACTTTTTACTCATTTTGCAGTTTTTCTTAGTGCTTTGGTGCATTTCTGACATCAGCCAGCAGGGGGCGCCATCCTCCTTCATAAATCTGAGGTATTATGGTGTGCGATTCCAACATGCTCCTGATTAGCCCAGAGACAGACTCCAGTCTCACATCCTCCTCTAATCATCTGTGTGAGTGTAAAACAAAATAAGTTAAACACAAGTTTCCATCAAAGCATATTTTTGAGTCTGGTTACATTCAAGATATGTCCTGGTGTCAGCAGACACTGATGGTCACGTACACAGCAGGTCTGACCCTGAAGCTTGTAGTGAGCAGGGCCTATTGCACTATTCTTATTCACTATGATCGGGATCTACCCTGTTTCCTCTGGTTCATCAAGCACTGAGGGGGACGTTAGAGAGAACACAGCAACCGTCTGAAACAACCACAGGAGTCTCACTTCTGACACACATCCATGAAAACATGTCCTGCTGAATATGAGCTAGTTTCATTCAGGGTTTGTCAACAATACAAGTTTAAATGATCGCCACTTTTCATGGCTTTACTTTTGTCTCCAAAATAGAGTTTGGGATCTAGCTTTAAATGCTAGAGAAAAAAAAAAGTTTGGAAATAACACCAGATCAGACTGATACAGTTGCCGTCATCATCCTACAGAATATTTACATTTGTATTGTTAATGGACAGTATCCAGTTAAGACACTTCCACATCTGAATACAGATCCCTTATGCCCATTCAAAAGGAACAGAGATGGTAAATACAAAGTGAAGGAAAAAAATAAATGCGAATAAAGACGCAAGTAGTTCACACATATAAAAGTGTTATTGCGTTTGTGGTTTTAATACATGTTTTGTCATAGCCCACAATGCTAAGACTTCTGAAATGATCTCACCGAAACTTCATGAGCCAAACTGTTTAGCAAACAACTTAGCAACACTGCAGCACCAACGCCTGTACAAACGCCCAAATAAGGACATTAGTTCCTGTCCAAATGACTTACGCATTAAAGCTAACACTGTGATGTCACACTCAGTCCACTCACACACGCCTTTTGCTCCAGAATAAGGACACGAGACTCATCCACCTCCATTTATCACAGATTTACCACATTGAATGTTGTGCATTTTTTGTGTGAAAACAGACTCCACAGGACGCTCTGTAAAGTTTGAGGTCCGACATCTCAACACAAACTAAACATTTGTATGAAGAGAACAGAGATAACTTTAACGTGGTAAGGAATAAAGAAAAGAAAATGGAAGCAGTGTAAATGTGGGTTCTGGAGCCAGACACATCTCACTCTGTCACCAACACTTAGATCAGCAGCAGTGAAAACATAATAATAACATGCAGCAAACATGTTTTCATTCATGGATCAGTTCATCGGTTCATCAGCGATAAACCTGACGACCACTTGTTTCTGTATTAGTATCAGTTTAAACATCACTTTCAGACTAATGTGGTTTTGGCAGATTTAATGACATGTTTGAAAACAGTTTGTGGAGAATAACAAGATGAAATCTCTGAGTGAAAGGAACAGGTTCAAATTAGAAATTGTACGGCTTCTAAACTCTTATTACACTGTTACACATACAATAAAAAAGATTAAAAAGTCCCAGTATAAAATGATAGGAAAAAGCCCTACTGCTAATACTGCAAATACTACAAATAGTAGAAGTACCAAAAAATAAAGTTAATACATTTCTATATCCATGGGAACTTTAGAGGTACTTTAAAGTACTGCAATACTGGAAATACTACACCACAACTAGTGCAGTATTTGAAGTATACAAACTAGTATACACTTAGAAAGTGTTTAACTAATAGTGACTGCATACGTTTATGCAATCGCTCAATAATAAGAATTAAAGTGAGGTGTTGAGTGATGTTGAGCTGAGGCTGAGACCTGAACTGGTCTAAAGCCAGGCTCAGGAGGCCCAGGCTTTTCCTCCTCCGTCTAGTGAGGCCTATTTACTCTGAGGAACTTAAAGATCCAAGTGGTGTTCTCAGTCTAGACTGAGAGAAAAGAAGCCAGTGTTGGTGGATGGTGTTCTCTCCTCCAGATCTCAGCAGGACAGGCTCAGGGTCAATCTGCTCCAAGTTGGAGGTGAAAAGCGTGATCTCACACAAATGGAGATTCAAGGAGCCGCTCTGGCAGCTCTTTAGTCCTCCACAGAGCATCCCACACCCCATAACACATGATCAGTGTGGACTTTAAGGGGATCTGGCTTTTGGTTGACGTTACCTCCCCCCGCTCCTCCTCTGACTCACACACAGAGGTCTCTGCTCCTCACTCCAGTTTCTTTCCTGGCATTTGACTCACTCAACTTTAGACACAGTTATTAAAGATACTTTGAAAAGTTTTATCCTAAGGACACCGCTGCGTATATAGCTGCCCTTGCGCCCGCCTACTTACAAATCGCTTTTGGTGAAAATTTGACATATACTTCTTCAAATGTATTTTTTAACAAAAATTCACAGGGGTCACATGATGCAGCCTCGGCTCTGTCTGTTTCAGTTGGTTCCAGATGCCGCGTCTTCAGACCTGGTTGACTACAGGTTTTGATGTGTTTATGAAGAGATGACCTTTGAGCAAAAGACTTTCCACACTTTTCACAGAGAAATGGTTTCTCTCCTGTGTGGATCCTCTGATGCTCTTTGAGTGTACGCTCTTCTCTAAAACTCTGATTACAAACGTCACAGCTGAAAGGCTTTTCTCCAGTGTGGATTCTGCTGTGGAGCTTGAGACTTCCTTTTACAGTAAAACCTGTTCCACACAGATCACACACGTATGGTTTTTCTCCAGTGTGAGTTTTGTAGTGGATCTTTAGTGCAGAAGCACAGCTGCAGGTCATTCCACACTGATTACAGGTGAATCCAATTTTGTAGATGGACTTTGTAGATCTGCAAAACAAAGACATGTCATGAATTTATTTCCATAGAGCAAAAAAAAAGAGACATTTTTCTAAGTCTCGATATCTTCACAGCACAAATACCCCCCAAAAAACCATTGCTTGAAACTCAGTCCAACATTGTTATTACTCCATGTATACAAAAATAAATTAAGAAATTATACCATTCTTTTCATTAAAAAATAAATCTCAACTCAAGGCAGTGCATATAGGAACAAAGTGCTTCTGCAAAATTTAAAAGGTCCAATGATACTTTTTATTATTTCATTTATCTGCTTATAATGTTGTCAAAACAAGGAAAATATATAATAAGTATGCAGTTTGTTGTCCAAAATAACAAAATCTAAGAAGTGATTCACAAACCAAAAGCAGTAAATCAATAAGCACAGCCTCTCCAAGCTCTGTTTTTTTCTCTCTGTTATTGTCAGCAACTAAAAGTGTTAGCATCAAGTGACTTGGAGAATGTGTTTCTGGGAGCACTCTTTGGCCTGAAGACGAAGAATGCGATGAATGTGACTGTGCTTTTTTCAGTTACCATGAAACTGGACTTATTCAAAAGCTGATCTGGAAACTTGTTGTTATTCCCACAAGATGACACTGAAAAACATGGATCTAGAGGTACAATGCAACTAGGGGTGGGCGATATGGGCAAAAATAAATATTTCAATATTTTTTCCCATTTTTACACAAAATGTTCTGCAATGTTAATCAAATAGCAAAATAGCAAACATGTTAACATAAAAAATCAATTTCAAGTATTCTGAGTGCATAGAACTCTTGCCTCTCAGCAAGAAGGTCCTGGGTTCGAATCCCGGTAGGAACAGGGTCTTTGTGAGTGGAGTTTGCATGTTCTCCCCGTGTCAAGGTAGGTTTCCTCCGGGTACTCCGGTTTCCCCTACCAATAAAAACATGCACACTAGGTTAAATCCTCCAGCTCTGGTCCTGACCAAGTCGAGCATCAACATCTGGAGATGGGTTCCCGGGCGCTGTTACTACGACGACCACTGCTGACGGAAGCCTTAGAGGCATCAGGATGGGTCAAATGCAGAGGATTAATAAAGTGCAGCTACCTTTACCTATAGAACACATCCAAAAAGAAATGCTAATTATTTACTGTAATTTACAAATAAAGCAAAGAATATTGCAATATTCAAAATCAAATATTTGTAAAAACCAAAATACATAAAATTATAAAAGTTTTGCAATGAATTTTATTCCTCCATACAGCCCAAGCCATACTACTCCGCTGCAGTCCCTATGACGCATCCTGCACACACAACCACCAAATCTTATGCCACGTAACCCTGCATCTTTCACGACAAGCACCAACAAACTTCACTGCAAGGCAGGGTTTAACCTGCTGCAGTTTCCTCACTGTGGCACTCTCCTCCAGACCATGGTCGCCTCTGCTTTAGGTTCTCTTGGCTCATTCGGTGGTGCAGGGGCCGCGGCGCTGTTACTGTCAACAAGTGTGCTAACACGCGATTAAACAATTCATATTTCTATAACTTCTGGTTCAAACCAATTCCACTCCCATCACAGTCTCCTATGAAACACCCCTATTACATGTTAACAGCTTATTTACAGTCAGGAGAGCATGAGAACTCAGGCTGGAGGCATATGTTCCACAAGCACTGTCCCCCATTGTCAGTCCAATCAGGTTTAGTCCAGGTTAAACCCATCGAGTCCGGGAACGCATTCCCGCATTTCTACCTTTCAAGCCGGGAGAGCTGTTCGGGAAAGTGGACACGTCTCTTCTTTTTTTGACCAATGAAATGCTTCAGGATATACCAGGGATGAGAATTTTCTGCGGAAAATATCATTTCTGTGAAATGTTTGGGTGGGCTGTTGTTTGCGTTACGTACTTGAACGAGATTCACATCCTCCATTCTGACATTGTGTCCCTCCTCCTGTGTCTCCTCCCGTGTCTCCTCCCGTGTCTCGTCCCGTGTCTCGTCCCGTGTCTCGTCCCGTGTCTCGTCCCGTGTCTCGTCCCGTGTCTCGTCCCGTGTCTCGTCCCGTGTCTCGTCCCGTGTCTCCTCCCGTGTCTCGTCCCGTGTCTCGTCCCGTGTCTCCTCCCGTGTCTCCTCCCGTGTCTCCTCCCGTGTCTCCTCCCGTGTCTCCTCCCGTGTCTCCTCCCGTGTCTCCTCCCGTGTTTCTCCAGTGCCTCTTCCAGAGTCTCCTCCCGTGTCTCTCCTTTTGTTTTTCCCGTGTCTTCCTCGTGCAACCTCCCATAGCGCAACCGAAACTTACAAAATTAAACCTCGGATACCAAAATGTTCCCTTGCATTAAGGATGCATGTTGGTTGTGCACAAATCCAACAAAACACACAACAGGCCATCTTGTTTTTTAATTTAGCACAATTAGGAGTCCTGCGAGTTATTATTTGATTAATTGGGCTGATTTTTTTATATTTTCCTCCACACAGTTAGTGCCACTTTATTGTCAAACTTTGGTTAACTCATTGTATCTTTTGAATGCGCTAGAAAACTTTGAAACAGTTACTGTTTTGTGCTTTACAATATTTTATTTGTATTGCTTTTTTCTACCTGTGATGTTGCTGCAGTACAGTGTTCATGGTTTAACGCTGGTCTCCTGCGAAATTTCACAGGAGGAATGCTAACTTTTTGAAAAATGCTAACGAAGCATTTAGCCATTTACTTTGGACTAGGAGCAGAGAATATGGTTGTGACCTGTCCTGCTCCACCCAGAGGCTACTCCACCTCTGCTGCTGTGACCTGAAGGACTGTTGCTGATTATTACTATTGTTTTTTTTGTCTGCTACTGGACACCTGAATTTCTCCTGCAGGAATCAATAAAGTATTTATCTATCTATTGAGAAATATTTGGGCAAGTAACTATTGACTTTAAGTAAAATATATAATTGTGGCTGACAAAGCTTAATGTCAAGGCCTGATGTCTTGACGTATTTCAAATCTCGAGATATCATGAATATAATAAATGAGAATATAGATATAGTCCCATAGATCCTGTGGGAACTCCAGATATAGCCTGACACTATGGTAATGGTGAAACATCCAGACATTGAGGTGGTGGAGAAAGGGCAGAAGAAAGCTGTAGTGGACGTTTACTGTGAGCTGTGACATTTAGTAGATCAATGTTAAAATCACCACATACTATTTGTTCTTTCGCAAAGTTTAAGTTTACCACTTCATTCATTTTTTCATTAAATAGATGTATGGAGGATCCTGGGGTTCTGTATACACAAGTAACAAGTACATTTCTGGAGTTTTTAGACTCAATTTCAACTGTTACACATTCAAATAGATCCTGTATTGCAATTGATTTGTTTTCAATACATTTGCAATGCAAAGCTGAATCCACATACAAACCAACCCCGCCACCCCTTTTACTGTGTCTATTTACTGTGAGCAGCTCATACCCTTCCATTTGCACCTCTGTGATTTTATTTTCATCCAGCCAAGTTTCATATACAGCAATAATACTAAATTTGGAGAGTGATTGCAATAGTTCCTATATTTTGTCAATAAAGGAACTATTGCAGCATATTTATTGTGTACCGTTTTCCCTGTTTTGAGGACGTACATAAGAACCATTTAAAAAAAATAAAAAATAAACTGGCTTCTGCACATTATATTTGTTATCAATGTTGAAATTGTCATAGCTGTACCCGGGCGTTTCGCTGCCTCTCGAGGATGAAAGAGAAAGATTGTTCTCGAACTAAAGCTTGAAGGAATGAAAACACAAATCTGGGCATGAGTATGAGGCCAAAAGCACTGTAATGAGGTTTAACCCAGAGAAAATTCCAAAAGCGTACTATGGCACCTTTAAGCACAAAACAGTTAGAAAGGGAAAGTGATGGAGCAAGAAGCATCCCGAACGCAGCTCTCCCAGCCAGCTGGAATGTGCCTTCTTCCTGATAACATGCTGCTCCAACACACTAGAAAAAAACATTTTCAAAACAACCAGTCAGTGCCAAAGGGCCAAATCACGCAAGTCCCGCAACCTCCACCAATTCTGAGGCAAAGACTCTCAGACGAACCCTGGTCGTTTAATAATAATAATAAATCAAACTTGTATAGCGCTTTTTTGGATACTCAAAGACGCTTCACATAGGGAAAAGCTTGTTTGAAAAGATGGGTTTTGAGTAATGATTTCAGGATTCACCGCTCACCGGACAGAGTGAAGGAGACCACGGGCAAGGCCAGAGGCGGAGGTGTGTGCTTTTTAATTAATCAGCGCTGGTGCACGGACACTCGTATCGTGAACCAAACTGTACTGCTAATCTGGAATGCCTGGTCTTGAGCTGCCGCCCTTTTTATCTTCCCTGTGAGTTTTCAGTGATATTTTTATGTGCTGTTTACATTCACCCACGTGCGGATTACAAAGTAGCCCTACAGGATCTGAGCGAGATCCTTCACAAACATGAGTCTGCTCATCCTAACGCAGTCATCATTGTTGCTGGGGATTTCAATAAATGTAATTTAAAGACTGTACTCCCGAACTTTTACCAACATGTGATTCAAGCTACAAGAGGAGCACATGTTCTGGATCACTGCTACAGTAACGTGAAGGGAGCTTACAGGTCCAGTCTCAGACCTCCCTTTGGAAAGTCTGACCACTCCTCTGTTCTCCTTCTTCCTTCGTATACTCAGAGGAGCAGGGAACATAAACCAACCTCTCGCACTGTGCAGTGTTGGTCTGAGGAGGCTAGCATGAAGCTACAAGGTTGTTTTGATGCTACGGACTGGTCTGTGTTTCAGTCAGAGGACGTCAATGAATTCTGTGACGCTGTGTCTGGATACATACGCTTCTGTATTGACGGCTGTGTCCCACAGAAGTTCATTAAAGAACATTTTAGTCAAAACCCTTGGATGAACGCGGAAGTGAAACTGAAACTTCATGAGCGTGCGTTGGCGTTCAAATGATACAGTTGCTTATAAGCTATCTGTTACTCATTGAAACGTTCTATTAAATTTGCAAAGCGCAGTTACGGGGACAGGTTAAAGATCTATTTTGAGGAAGATGGCCCTCGGCGCATGTGGAACGGTATTAAAGCCATCACATCGTGGAAATCTAGTGCTGGGAAAATTGCATCTGTCGGCCAAGCTCTGCCAAACAAGCTGAACACGTTCTACTGTCGCTTTGAATCCACTGATGCCTGTCCTACTGTATTCCCTGAGTGCTTCAATCAAGGTACCTTCACCGTGACTCAGGAGGAAGTCAGGCGTGTCTTGTCCAGGAGTCCGGAAAGCCCCAGGCCCGGACGGCATCCCTCCTCGTGTCCTGAAACTGTGCTCTGAGCAACTTGCCCCTGTGCTAACAGACATTTTCAACCTGTCGCTAAGGAACTGTACTGTGCCGAACTGCTTTAAAGAGTCGACCATAATTCCAGTTCCTGAGAAAACTCCTGTGACATGCCTGAATGACTATCGTCCTGTGGCCCTCACGTCTGTTCTTATGAAAACTTTTGAGCGGCTTGTGCCAGATCCCTGTGAGTGTTGACCCGCTCCAGTTTGCTTACAGACAAAACAGGAGTGTGGAGGATGCCATCTCCTTTGCTCTGAACTCTGTCTACACTCACTTGGACACTAGTAAATCTGTTGCGAGAATGCTTTTCAACGATTATAGCTCTGCTTTTAACTGCCTTGTCCCAGGTAAACTGATTGAAAAGCTCATGTCTCTCGGTTTAAGTGTTGCCATGTGTAAATGGATTTTTAGGTTTTTAAATGACAGATCTCAGAGTAAAAATCAATGACTGTTTTTCTGATATTTCTGCGAGCACGGGTTCTCCTCAAGGATGTATTTTCAGTCCTTTGCTTTTTACTTTGTACACTCACGATTGTGTGTCCTCCTCTGACTCAAACTTGATCATCAAATAAGCTGATGACACCACCATCATCGGTCTCATCAGTGACAATGATGAATCCTCTTATAGAGCAGAGATACAAAATGTGGTTCAGTGGAGTCAAACTAACAACCTCCAGTTGAACGCATCGAAAACATGTGAACTGGTCTACGACTTCAGTCGCAATAGTTCTCATTTGCCTGTCGTAGTCGACAACTCCCAGGTGCAGATCGTAGAGGAGTGCAAGTTTCTGGGTTTAACTCTGTCTAACAACCTGACATGGGTTAAAAACATTGATCGAGTCGTTAAGAAAGCTCGTCAGCGTCTCTACTTTCTGGGTAAACTTAGAGAATTTACCACTAACTCTAAGATTCTGCTTAACTTTTATCGCTGCACCATTGAGAGTTTACTTGTTGGTTCTGTGTCCGTGTGGTTTGGTAACATCACAGATAAAGAAAAGAGAGCTTTAAACAAGGTGCTCCGCTCTGCAAAGAGGACCGTGGGCTGTGAGCTTCCTGTTCTGGAGGTTCTTTATAAATCCAGACTTTTAAACAAAGCTCTTAGGATTGTCAATGACTCTTCTGGCCACCCTGGGAAAGCCATGTTCCAGCTTCTTCCCTCTGGCAGAAGATATAGCTCTCTGAGATGCAGGACATCTCGTTACGCTAACAGTTTTTATCCACAAGCTGTTATCAGTGTGAACAGAGCACTTTAATGCTTCGCACTCGTTTTGAAACTGTTTTAGTCGATCGATTTCACAGTGACATTTGTTTACTGTTTTATTTGTTTTATTTCTGTCTTTTAATGTTGTTTAATGTCTGTATTTGTCTGTGCACACTGGAGACTTTTGCTAATGTATTCCAATGTGGTGTTTTTACTGCAAATGGCAAATAAACTGAATCTGATTTCAAGTTTGGGAGTTTCTAATGGGCAGTGGGAGTGAATTCCAGAGGGTTGGGGCGGCAATGGCAAAGGTTATGTCCCCCAAGGTCTGGCGGTTAGAGCGGGTGATGGGGGTGAGGAGGTTGGAATTGGCTGAACGAAGGCGGCGGGTGGGTTGGTGCTGTTGCAGGAGCTCAGTAAGGTAGGGCGGGGCCTACCTTACTGAGCTATTCAGTCTTTTCAAACATTCCCAGTTATTTACAGTTTTTTCAGACAGAACAAGTTAGGATATACTTTATATCAGTGTTTTTCAAACACTGTGCCGCATGATATTGTCTGGTGTGACATGAGAAATTCGTCTACTTTGTCTGAAAATAACTGCATTCGTCGTTGGCGAGCGGTGACTTGTTTTGAACTGTGGAGTAACCATGTAATACTTTTTCATATCAGTAGATGGCAGCAGATAGCCAAGTACTTTGAAACTGAAAAATTGGATGCGACCACT